AGGACCACAAATAATTGCGAGGGGTACCATCGGCGAATTAATGCGAGATTACCACGAAACCCTAACTTGTACCTCGTATTCCGTACATTTTTAAAAGAAACGAAGCATTACGATATAAAGATCGAAAGGTATTTGTTATTTGCACCATTCAAAAAAAATAGGCGGACGAAAGATATTTTGTTTGACATTAAGTATGCATCTTTATTAAAACAACTGAAAAGAAGAGTAATTTCACCAAAAATGTTGCTAATGAAAATCCATTTAACCAGATTAAAACTTGGTTTCTAACTTATTTTTTTAATTATACCTTATTTTAAGTGGAAGAAAGTTGATTTTGTATTTTAGTTAAGTTTAGTTCAATAAAACAGCGTACCTAATTTTAAGTGGAAGAAAGTTGATTTTGTATTTTAGTTAAGTTTAGTTCAATAAAACAGCGTACGCCAACTACTAATTTGTTTATCTGTCAAAATTGCCCTTACCTTATAATGTTATTCGATTCATATAGGTATTCCATAGGTGGGATGTAGGTATAATCTAAAAAAACAGTTCAATAATTTAAAGGATTCAACTTTATGGGATTCAACATTATACAAATTCAACTTTTTGGGAAATCATAATTCAACATGTTGGGAAGTCAACTTTGTAGGATTCAACATTACACAAGTTCAACTTTTTGAGATTTCAACTCTATGCGAATTCAACTTGATGGTCCGAAAGGATGCGTTCCTGACACCTATCAGTTAGTCACGACTAGTGATGGGCACAACATAACACTGAGTTCGTTACCGTTCCTCCAAAATGAACCGCCGCGTTATTTTTAAGATTATTTTCGTTTTAAATTGGCGGAATCATTTAAAATTTATATTTTAGTAATTTAAGTGGAAACCATAAAAAATTGTTATTAATAAATAGTAAATAAAAAAGTAATATTAATATAATAAAATTGTTTTATTTATTCTTTGTTACAAAGTTACAATCTGTATTTCTTTGCAATAAAGTACATTGAATTGAATGTGCGTACAGAATATTAATCAGACTCCGATTTTCTTGAGGAGGTGGTGTCTTCATCGTCATTTTCGCCTACACGTATAATTATATTATTATCAATAACAGAATCAATCCTGATATCTCGGTCAAAATGTTCCACAATCAGGTTTTTATTCTTCTCAACAACCTTTGCCCAGTCATCTCTTGTGACTTCCCCGCAGGCTTCTTTTAATAGGGTCATCATCTTTTTCCTGCTGAATGGCGGGGAAGTATTGTGGCGGGCGGCGTAACCTTTTATTTGACCCCAGATTAGCTCAATCGCGTTACTTATATTGGCAATGATACGGTGGAATTCTTAGAACGCGATGACCGTACTCCAGAGTCAGTTCATCGATTTCGTATCGCACATTTGCCGCTTTATTTTCTTTAACTAATTTAATTAGCTCTGGTTTTAGCATCTGCATATTTGCGTCAATGCCTTTTGCTTGTAACCAAGCCACCATTTCTTCTTTTTTATTAGCTTGGGTAGGTGGTTTCCGTATTTGAACCGAGTGATAGGAGGCATTATCCATGAATATTACAGAAGGGTCTGGTAGACTAGGCAAAAGCACGGTCTGGAACCACTCTTTTAATGTAGTGGCATTCATTTCCTCGTGGTAGTCATTTGTGGTTTTTGATTGAAATGCCAGTGACGCGTTCTCCACAAAGCCGTATTTTGCAGAACCTGCGTGGCATATTATCAGACGGGCCCCCTTACCCATTTGTACTTTCGACGTCGACGCTTGTATATCATCCGTCCAAGAACGGGAAACCGTGTGATTGGCGTTTAGCCATGTCTCGTCAATGAACACGTCATTATCCCAGTTATCAATATTTTTTGCTTCTCTCAAAAAACTTATGCGTTTTAAAATTATGTCGTATCGTTCTAATAAAATTTTTCTTTTGTCTGTTTTTTATACGAAAAACAAATATCTTTTAAGATTTTAGTTAAAGCAGTTTTACCCCCGCTAAATAGTCCAACTTCTCTTAACGATGCCAAAAGCTTCTTCCTGTTGAGATATTCATTTCTGGAATAGTAACCATATATATGATTTCTGATTGCATCGGCGTCAAATGTGTCAATATCTGTCACGGGTTTAGTTCTACATTTCTTCTTCGGAGTACGAAAAATGTTATCTTCCGTGCCAGTAGAGCCGAACTTTTCTTTATTAATATTTGTTATCGTTCGTTTGCTAACTCCAAGCGCCTGAGAGAAGCGTTCTTGTACTTGTTCGACAGGTAACAGGGGTCCGCCATTTTGCCGCTCCCGCTCAAAGTAATCTTGCAGCTTGATGATTAACTCACGGGCTCCACTTTTCAATGTTTGTCCATGTTTAGGAATTATTATGCACCAAAAGTAAAAAGAACGCAATACAAAACACAATCGAAGTCCGATTTAGCGCCGATGTCAGTTTGAAAAGCAGAAACAGTCCATTAAACAAAAGCCGGGTAATCAAATAAAAACAGATCGAAAAAACTTGAAGAACGTGGTCTATGCGCACGAAACGACAACAGACGACTGTTTTATCGTCACAAAATGGCTATGGGCCGCCATTTGGGGTTACCATTTTCAACCTAAATATAAAAATGCTACTTTCTTTCGCGCGTTCGGTTTGGTCGTAGTTTTATTTCTATATTTAATAAAAGTTATCTTATAGTCCATTATTTTCAAATTCTTAGAAAGAAAAACAAAACGTATTATTTTATAAAGTGTAACTGTATAAGAACAGATTACGATACTGTTATTGCCTGTTATTGTTAGCACAGCACTACAAATATAAAGCGCTGACATAACCTTGTAATAGCGCAGTATAGATTTAGAAAAATATTGTTTACCAAGTTATTTGCCACTCAGTTTGGCACAAAATTATAACATTCATTGATTATTGATATAATAATGTTGTTTTAATGCTCATCAATTGTTAAAACGGTAAACAACCAGCAAAAATATTTTTATCGTAACTGCAACGCCATTACAAAGTTACGTCGTCAGTTCAATCACGACGTGTCAGGAACGCATTTTTTGAACGGCCGAACTATAGTTAAGGTCCTAAGAGCGGGTGAAATGCCTAAATTATTGGATATTTAAGTAAAAAATCACAATATCTGTATATTTAATCTGCAAAAAAAAATACAACGTGATAGAAAAGGATTTAATAAATCTTTGTCATATTTTGCAAAATTTCTTCAAAACGACACAAGCTCTTTTAATAATTTTTGCACTAAAAAAGGTCTTAAAAATATTAATGTTTTTAATTGAGAGTTTTATTTTTATTCCCTATTTTACTCAAGAAAATGTAATTTTCCCCGAAATCGATTATATTCGCGCGAGCGTGCCTGCTCCGTCGCCCTGTAATCCCCCGAGAGCTCCGTCGCAGTCCGTTTTCAGACATCCTCGAGGGTGAAAGGGTGAACAAACGTCGGTGTTGAAGCGACTTTGTCAAAGAAAATATGCTCTCTCTACGCGAAAAGAAATGACACTTAAGCATGTGTGCATGTAAAATCGCTTGCGGCTATTTGTTGGTGTATGGATGTGTGTGGGGGCCTTGAGAGGTGCACGGGGCGTGGAACGGGCCGTCGCTGACTGCCCTGGCCGAGGGCTGATACGTAGTAGTTCGCGTCTCGTTTATATGTATGAAACATAAATGTTATATGTAATAACTTTAAAGTATATATTTGTACTTTTATATATTTATATTTATATATGTATATGTATGTATATATATACATATATATTAATATGTATGCATGTATTTATCTTATCTATGTGCTTATCTAACATTCTATATTTCTATTTTATGGCTTTAATAAAAATAACATATTTTTGTCGCCAAACCAAACACTTTTTCTGTCGACATTCAAAAAGGAGACGGTACTCAATTCGACTGTATGTTTTTTTGGTGTTTTTTTATGTGTGTTACCTCATAACTTTTTACTGGGTGAACCGATTTCGATAATTATTTTTTTTCTTTTTATATAAAAGCTGATACTTCTTGTGTGGTCCCATATCAATTTAATCAAGGTCAGATCAATAGTTTTTGAGTTATTCGTAATAACTTATTTTGAAGTCTGCTATACAAAATTTTAAATTTTAAATTATTTATTGTTTTATTGCAATCCTGTCCATCCAAAGGTTGTCTGGAAGAGATCGCTCTTAGCGATAAGACCACCCCAAGACCACTCCAATGGGTGCTCTTATCGCTAAGAGCGATCTAACAAAAAATGAGAAAAAGAAATGTGGTACAATTACCCAATTTCTTTTTCTCATTTTTTGTTAATATTTATGTTATTTTGTGGCGTACAATAAAGTGTTATCTATCTATCTATCTATGCTTCCCTATGGATTTTCTAAAAAAATTATACATACGGCTACGAATTTTTGCAATTGTTAGAAATAATAATAAAAATTGTAAAAGTTATCGTAGAAGTCAAAAATATATAAGAGTAAGTAATTTTTAAAGGGTAGTAGGTAATACTGATTATTGCGTACTGAAATACTAAGTGTTGGTTAATTATTTAAGATTACCATTAACTGTCGTGCATATTTTGTTTTGTCGGAAATTTTAATATTCCACCTAAATGTCACCGGCGCTTGAACTCTCACGTACAGAGAGTGTAACCGCTGTGACTTCGTTCATCAGATATATTTTAGTTTTTTAAGGGTTTATACTAATTATAAATATTTTTATGAATAGGAATACATAATATAGTTAATATATGTACATAGTAAATGTAAATTATGGTTTTCTAAACAAATAAATTTTTAAAGAGGAAGAAGAAATTTTAACGGCAACGAAATTGAAAAATGCATTTTTGTATATTATTACTTTGTGAGAGCGTGGTACTTCCCCGATCGAAACATGCTCTAGCACGTAAAAACTATTGCAGTTTAAGTATGAAAATCTCCAAAATATCAGTTAATAAAACTATATCCTAAGAACATTAAATCTGAATTGACGTTTTTTGAGGAAACCTTACTTATGAGACGAGAGCACAACGGTGTCGCCATGGGAAAGTCTACGCTTAATCTCGGCCCATACGCGGTGCTTGGCGGCGACATCGATCCCCGCAGTGGGCTCGTCCAGCAGTTTTACGGGAGTACCAGAGCAAAGCGCGCAGCCAATCGCCAGCCGCCGCCTCATGCCCATGCTGTAACTCCATACCGCCTTCTTTGCGTGACGTTTCAAGCCTGAGTATAGCATAGTTTCATTTATCTCTCTATATTGGATAAGTTTTTAAACAACTGCATCATTGTTTTTTTATTATACTCTTGCCTTGAAGACACGCACATTGTAATTGGACGGAATTCGGATCCTTTAGAAAGAGACTTCTTATCTGCCTGGGAGACCGTCTGAGTAGGTACCACTCTTTTGTTTATTTCCCCCACCAAATATGTGTGATTCGATCTAGGAACTAATATATTTATGTGAGCCGTTCTATCTTAGTTTAAAATTGGTTGCATACGTCCTTGGACAGCAGTAGCTTACCATTAAGGTGGATTGTAAGTTCGTTTGGCACTAATTTTATAAAAGTAAATGCAGTAGCTAACCATCTACCAAGCGTGGCAATTATGGCAAATATATGGGGCATTATATAAGGGAAGCCTTTATTCAACTGTAGAATTATAAGAAGCTGTGATAATCGTATGAACGTCGCCATTGCCTCGTCATTCAATAAGCAAGTTGTACTGCGTGAATACGAGGCGGACATTTGGAGAATGGTACATTTTCCTTTAAATTAAAACTAAGTTTTTATTAAATCAACTATCTTACCAATGATATTGAACCAAGCCTTGGTCACATCTTGTGCTTTACGATTTGAGTGTCCTCGGAGGCGCAATAGCATTTTCATATTGCTCTCACCAGATCGGAAGTAATCCAGACCGTAAGATTGTGGACAATAACCCAGAGAGTAAGCATACTGAAAGTAATAAACTAGATTTATTGAGAAGGGGGAAGCGAGACCTTGACAATTTGAGTAAATTCTCTTCTTGAAGTAAATTCCAACCTCGAACATGAAGCTGAGAGGTTGGGTTTTAATGTATACTCAGAAAAGCTTGAAGAAGGCTTTAAAATGATATGATAATATAAGCACATAGTAAACCTGATGATAATTGAATGCTGTGGGCCATATACACCCACATCTATTCTCGATCATGTAATGAAATAAAATGTAACGTAATAAAACGAAATAAAATGAAATATTTTTTTTATTTCTTCAACGTAAGAATATGAATTTAGTTTGTTAAATATGTACCTACGATTATTTTTGTGCACAAAAGTTTAAACTATTAAATAAAAAGTATTATTTTTAAGGCTACCAAATCCACTACCATTTCGAAATGATGTTCCTCTGACCGGAGAAGACAGGGCGCGAGAATTTCCGCAGGTTTCCTCGCTTTTTGTCATTTAATAAAAAATACATAATAATCATAGTATATACAAGATGGAAAACGACAATAGACTCATGAAGTATGTTCCTTAATGTATACAGACAATTATAAATTTGGAGTTTTTAAGGGTATAGCAAACTCGAGCAGTCCAACCCCCACAAGCAGCAAAATGCAGATTCGTTGTCACCCCTGAATAATAAGATTGAATACCTCATTTCCAGTAAAAAAGTTATTCGGTTCGCTACACTCACCATACTGAATACAGCAGCATTATTCTGCAGTATCATGTTGGTATTCCGTGAGATCGTAGTTCTATCCCGGCTATAGTATAAAGAGAGGGGAAGTACGTTATCTTCATACAAACGGACTGCGCGCGGCTTGTATGTGTGCACCATAGTATTCATGAGGCGCACGCACACTTAAACACAATCTCGAAGTATTTTTCAGCGCGCCAGTCGAGGCTAACACCGCACGAGGTTCGCGCGTCACGTAAGCGAGTCACTTATTATAAGCATATAATTTTTACTTGACGATGAGATACCTCCTTACTTATTTTTGTTGTATTAGTTGTCTATCAGACAGAGAAAGAATAGTAACTAAGTACCTACTTACGGTTATAAAATCGTAATTAAAAATAAGTAATTGACTAATTATGAATCAGATAAATAGAGCAAAATTCGAATAATAACAACAGAACAAAAAATTGATTACAGTCTAAGAGGCAGGCGTTAGTAATTTAATGTTATTGTACGATGTTTTTTTTTAAATATTTTTGTCGCTTTATTCAATTTTTTTTATTATAGATGCCTATATATAGGGCCGGGCTTTAAACTAATGATTTGGTGACAGTGACAACCCTGAGACAGTAGGCAATTATATCGCGGATTGTGCCGGAGATAACCTACTTGGCCTCTCTTTATACTATGTCCCGGTCGAGCCGAACCATTCATGATGCGTGGTGCTATGTATAGCTTCATAACTGCGGCATGCATGACTAAGACCATAAATTAAATATTTACCCGCGTAGCGTTAAAATGGGCGTAGTGTCCGTCAACAAAAATGTTTCCCTTTGTTGCATAATCTTGGCAAGTTATCACTTTGAATTGGGTTGTTTTGCCGGAACTATTTAAGCCGATCAAGCCAAAACATTCACCTGTGTTTACATACCGACGTATTGTAAATTATAGTTGTTACTTTTAAAATTATGGAATTAAATTGTTATGAAGCTTTTAGTCCAGGAGGAATCGGCACATGAGTATCGAAAACTATTCCACCTCAATTTTTTTATGCGGTTCTCTACAAATTGTCCTTCTAAAAATAAATGCAAGTTGCCATGGGGCGATTCGATGCCTTATTGTTTAAACCGATTTTTTTTTTCAATTGCATGGAATTGTTATTTCAAAACGGGACAATTTTTTTTAATATTCTTTGACGATAAAGTTAACATTTTCGGAGTTATGAATTTTTAAAGGTTTGAAAAAATCCCCAATTCGGATACTTTTCACTCATTAAAAATATATAAAGAAAAGGAACCGTTTATATGATCAGTAGGAAATCTTAAAGAAAATCGCCAAAAAACTGAGGTGGAATAGTTTTCGGCACTCATGCGTCGATTCCTCCTGAACTATTTATTTTTTTGAAATTCCTTTTTGATGTATTACAAATATTTTACAATTTAAACTAAAAAAATATCTTTGTTTCGTACCTTTTTTTACAGAATAATTGATATCATTCAAAGCAAAAGTTGAATTCTTGAATAAACTAAAATATATTTTCCAAACTCGGCTTACAAGTATTTTCTCCTTTATAGATTCTCTTGCTGTAATTAAGAGATTTTTCTTTAAACAGTTCTCTAAAATATCTTTTAAAAATTTATTTAAACATAAAGTTACATGTTATAACTTAAGATGGTTAAAAGTTTACGTATTTCAATATGTCTAGCTAGATTATAGTTAACATATTTTATAATTCAGTCGAGGGTTCAAGGTCCCAGTACCTATCTGAAACTGTATGCATCCATATTTCGCTCTTGTCATTTAAGCACCATTATAGAATAAGTGGGTTGCTGCATTCATTTCTAGAGCTGCCATTAATATAGGAACGCCGATGGGGAGATTTTTAATAGAAATAGCAACCTAATGATACAATTAAATCTGTATATCTCTGTTTAGCCTAATGGTTGACTGGGAGAGAATGCCCTATGGCATTAAGTCCGCCATATGTACAACTATGTGCATGAAAGCTTAAATAAATAAATAAATAAAAATGCGAAAAATCAATGCCCAACATATATGGGCGGACTAACATCGCAGTACCAACAATAACTTAACAAAATCTTACTCCAAGTTAAATTATTTAAAAAAAAAATATAATTATAATAATTCAATTTGGTAGAAATATTATGGTAATCACAATAATTTGAAGACTACACATGTAAACAAAAAATACTATATTTAAATGTTTAGTTGAATGATAAGATATATACTAACATCTCTGGATCGTGTTTCTAACGTAATTCTTCTCGGCAGAGACATCCGAGCTCTCATACTTTCTCGTAGGCGTCATCACTGAGCACCGTTTGTCTATCTCGTGGCGCAATCGATTGAACATTCGATATTCAAGCAGGAGCAGAAGGATCTACAGGCGATTAAAATAATTACAATGACAATATACATATACAATTAGAAATATAACTTTTATGTTACTTCATTGTAATTATTACTTTATAGTTGCAAGCGTCACGAAAATTGAAATGATTGAAGGGGCCTGGACCTTACAAGAAAGTTAAAGGAACGGAAAATCATGCGATAGCACCTCCGTTTATACCACATAAGTAAAGAAACCGTACAGAAGCAAAGCTTCTAAGGAGCAGTCAAAATGTTTACCTATTTTAGTAGGGTTGGCACAGAAGGATAAAATTAAATAAACAAAACGTTTATCAGCTTTTATTATATAATTCTGATATAATATTATTTACAAACTAATTATTCTTAATATTTTATTTTTATAATTTTTGTCCTTACACAATTTGTAGTGCCTTTTTATTAAATGGTAAATTCTAAATCTATCTAAAGTTTTTTTAATCTATCTGAAAGCACTCGCATAGCATAACAAATAAAAAGATTGGTAAATCCAATTGGGCATGCCTTAAGCGCATTAAAAAAATTACGTATAACATGATTATACGGAATTTTTTAAAGTAGTTTAAATACATTTCGACAGCACTATCGGCTTCAACACCCTCGAAAACCATGAAAATGACACCCATTATGAAAAAATTGGTACTTACTTCAGCCGCCATCTTGGATTTAAATTTCGACAGCACTATCGGCTTCAACACCCTCGAAATCCATGAAAATGACACACATGATGAAAAATTGATACCTATTGCAGCCGCCACCTTGGATTTACATTTCGAGAGCACTACCGGCTTCAAGACCCGCGAAAACCATGAGAATGACACCCATGGTGAAAAATCTTTTTTTCTATTGCAGTCTTCATCTTGGATTTACATTTCGACAGCACTATCGGCTTCAACACCCGCGAAAACCATAAGAAGGACACCCATGATGAAAAATCTTTTTTTCTATTGCAGTCTTCATCTTGGATTTACATTTCGACAACCCTATCGGCTTGAACTCTCTCGAAAACCATGAAAATGACACTCATGATAAAAAAATTGATACCTATTGCAGCCGCCATCTTGGATTTACATTTCGACAGCTCTATCGGCTTTATCACCCTCGAAAACCATGAAAATGAAATTAAAGAGCTTCTGAAGGATTTGAAGTACCGGTTTTCCACCCGCTTTCAGAAGCTCCGCTCTAATTCCATCCTCGCCTGCGGCCTTGCTGTTTTTAAGATGCTGGAGATCCATTCTGATCTCGCTCAGACTGACGTCCGGGATATCTTCGGAATAGTGTCGGATAAGACTAGCTCTTGGATCGTTACTCACACTTGCGTGTGGCTCTAACGATGACGTGTACAACTGTCCATAGAAACTCTCAATCTCACTCAAAATCTCAGGTGCCCCGGAAAACGATGATGCCACACTCGGTCTTCAGCTTTGACAGTTGGCTCTTTCTGGTAGACAGATCTCTGGCAAAGACTTTGGAACCTTGGTTCCGCTTGATCGCTTCTTCAATACAAGCTGTATTGAAGTTGCGTAAGTCCCGCCGCATGCATTTGGAGATCTGTCTGTTCAGTTGCCTGTATGCTGTTAAATCGGTTGAAGAATGTAGCTTCATCTCCCGTCTAACAGCTATGAGAATAAGAGTGTGATCGGAGAGTTTTTTGCAGAACTTAGCTCCGACCGCATGGACAGTTTCCACGAGCTTGTCATTCATATCGTCCACTTCATTGCAGTCTTCTAGGCACTGAAAACGGTTTTTTAACTCGAGCTGAAAGGTTTCGGGACTTTGGAACAAAGCACGAGGGAGACGGAGCGTTGACTTCATCAGACGAGACATCTCCAACTTAACGTTTAGGTTCAGTTTGCCTCTAACCATTCGGTGATCGCTACCAGTTTTTACCCTCGCGATCGCGGAGACACCACTGAACAGTTGTCGCCTGGTCGTCATAATATACATGGTTGACAACAACACCCGGGACACCACACACACACAAAAATAAGATGGTCGCTTACAAGATGTTTTTAAATAAGTTTTGTAAGTAGTTTTTTCTTATTTTATACTTTTTTTAATCTTTGTTATTATTTTATATTTTACATTGACAAAAAATCCCACTCGGTTTTATGAGGTTTTTTTTCGGAACCAGAGGTAAAAGTGAAAAAAAAAATGCCTTTCGATAAGAATTACTTGTAATCTATAATAAATAAAAAATTGTCCTATTCTGTTTTATTCTCGTCTACTGCTAGAATTTTTATATTATTAAAGATGTCAAAAATTTATTAGGGATCCGCGTAACCAAATAAAATGCGATGTGTCTTACCTAGTTAAAGAAAAACTCCCGCTCTTTCCTCTGTATATTTCTTTAGTATAGGGGTGAAAACGAGCAACAGTCCACCATATGGTAAGTTGATGCTGTGGTCCATATATGATGACTAAGATGGAATGCCTCCGCTATTCACAAGCGACCAGCAGCCAACTTCTTCGAAACGCCGTCGCAACGGCTGGTATCTTGCATTCAGCAATCGATTCCCCAGAAGGACCATCGCGAAGGCTGTTCTCTTACGTTCGGCAGTTGACTCCTCCGAACGGTCATCGGGACGGCTGTTCACATTCGTCTGTTATCCAAAGCCATTCAGCCGTCTTCTGTACCGTATGGCTATCATCGGAGATGAAAACATACGAGGCCGTCCCAGCGGCGTTGGGCTACCGTCAGAAACTTAAACACGGCAAAGTGGTCGTTCTGCTACTTTACCAGCAGTACGGATGCTATCAGCTATCGGCAAATTGCTAATTTTATCTTAGGCCGACGACGCATTAGAAACATCCGTATTTTGTAGACATAAAAGTTTTATGACCGGCACAAACCGATTCCGCTATTTTATGCTTGTATTCCATGAGAGCGTGGTCCTTCCCCGGTTGAGCCGACCTATTCGTGTTATAACCATAATATTGCTGCAGCATGGCTTTACGACATAAATTGTGCTCTATTTAGTGGTGACGGGGTTAGTGCACGCAATTGAGGAAGGCTGTAAGGTGCTCTTTAAACTAGGTAAGATACATCACTTTATCACGAATATCTTCAAGATACAAGCGTTACTACAATAATATTAAGTAAGTTCCCTACAGTATATATTTCTTAATGGGCATACAGCATACTACAAGATAGTTATGCATTTACTGCCGGTGGCGTCAGGGTGAAACTGTCAGTTTTTAAATAAACAAGCCGTAAAATTTTCTACATCTTCGGTGCAGTTAATCATCAGTGTTCACAACATAAATAAATTTAAAAATTCTGAACAATCGCATCATACACTGTTATTGAATAGTGAACAAAATAAAACCGCTGTGAAGTGCCAATACTGCAAAAAATCTCCGCATAAGTTACTAGAATGTAAACAATTTAAACGGTCATTACGCAAAGGCAGATGGCGGTATGTAAAACGTAACGGTATCTGCTACAAATGCTTAGTATCGCGCCACGATAGGGATACGATTTTTCGTTAATTAGGCTACTCGGGATGGAAATCGGCTACGAAAAATTCAGAAAGGCGACTGGTCACCAAATAGACTACTAGAGAGACGAACGATCTATCGTCAATTAGATTGAATCAAAACCAGAAGTTAATATAAGCGTTAAATACCTCCTACGCAAAATGTACAAGTCAAAATGAAAAAACTGGCAACACTGTTAATTTCGGGGAGTACCCCAAAACTTCCTTCACTCTCACTCGCACTCATCTCCAGACGTGCGCGAAAGAAACGGATAGGTCCGAATATATGGCGAAGAAACTTGTATTATGGAAGGTCAAGATCGTTTAATCGCCATACTCACAGTATCATAGTGCGTGCGAGTGAATATATATGAAAGAAATAGAATAGAATAGAATAGAATAATGTTTTATTCAATATATATTACATGTGTAATTCTTATTGAAAGTCATTTTTACTTTACCACTGGTTCGAAAAAAAACCTTCTGTCCTGGGAAGAACCAGCAAGAAACCCAGCGGGACTTTTTTTTAAAAATAAATTTTACAATATAAATGATTACATACTATTTACAAAATTTATTTTAGAAACTGCTTGGTAGCGACCACCTCATTCCCAGGGGTTATTAACAACCATGTATTCATTTATACTATAATAACCCTTTTTATACAGTTCCAGCTTAACAAAACATTTAAACTTGGTAATAGAGAAAGCCTGTACACTTTCCGGGACCTTGTTGTAATAGCGTATACATTGCCCCAAGAATGAATTACTGACTCTGTGGAGTCGAGACACTGGTAGCACCAGCCTGTGCTTGTTCCCAGTGTTTACAGAATGTATATTACTTTTTTCACTAAAACTGCCTTTGTTTTTGTGAACATACATTACATTTTTGTAAATATACTGAGAGGCCAAAGTTAATATATTTATTTCTTTAAATTTATCTCTAAGAGACTCTCTCGATATTAGGTTGTAAGTAGCTCTAATGGCCCTCTTCTGTAAAACAAAAATATTTTCGCAATCAGCCGCATTTCCCCATAGCAAAATCCCATAAGACATTATGCTATGGAAATAACTGAAATAAACTAATCTAGCTGTCTCGACACTAGTGAGACCTCTAATCTTAGTCTGCTTGCTAATTTGGATATATGGGGGCCCCCACTGAAGCTTTGCGTCGAGAGTGATGCCAAGAAAAACAGTGGATACAACAGGACTCAGTTCCTCCCCGTTTAAAAACACATTGGTATTCAGACTTTTAACATTAATTGTTGTAAATTTAACATAATTAATTTTATCTCCGTTCAAATGCAGATTATTAACGTTAAACTAATGCATTAATTTCGATATAGCATTATTTACTTCGTCACATTTAAATTATAGACGTTTAAGTTTAAAAATCAAGGAAGTAATCAATTTTTTTTACGTGGTAGAGCCATGCTGCGGCTATG